TGCGGGAACGTGTGTGTGTGTGTGTGTGTGTGTGTGTGTGTGTATGTGTGTGTGTGTGCCTTTGCGTAGGCGTTAATGTGAGCGAGAGCATGCTTTCTAGTTGGGGCGCATACTGCTTGACTTTAAATCTAGCACTCAGTGACTGTGAAACAGTCAGGCTCTGACACGATTTAACCGTTTTGGTATGATTTTAGGTAATAACTTTCATCCCCACATGACTGTACTGTGCAGTACGCACAACCAGGGTCCTTCTCTTCCTTGTACAATATGAATGATACATTCTTTACACATAGTAATGTCATGAGGAAAATATATCAAATGTATTTCTAATATGTAATATATCATCATGTATTACATGATGTATGCTTTAGTTTAATTAATCCCATGTTGTCTGTTTTCTCATCCATCTGTTGCATGTCCCACACAATGAAGAGTCCAATGGGGAAACACTGCAACAATAATTATCGCTCACATGCAGACAATTCACTGTTGGTTACTTTCCCTTGTGATACCCCTCCTTATTGTTTATTGCTTTGAGAGCTATGTATCTAATTAGACCATATAATGACAATTGTTCAGCTACATTATTAACTGATATAAGCTTAGCCTATGTCAAATATTCAAGGCCTTTTGGTCAGAGATAAATGTGAAAAGCTGGCATGTAAGGTTAATGAGTTGCACTCAGTGCCTTGATTCGTAAACCACATATGTTTTTATTTCTACCATGTTAAATACAAAAAATATTGTGTTTAAAATATTTAGAGATGTTGAAAGGAACTGCTGATGAAGCTACCCTAAACATTTCCACATGCTTCCAGTCTGTAGCTAAGCTGGGCTGTATCTTGTATGGGAAGCATTTCCCTAGTGTTGGAGTGATCTTATAACAACAACCATAGTGATGTAAACTATGATGGTACACACCTTGTGTCATAGTTGCAGAGGTTATGTGGGACATCTGTGACTAACATCTGTGTCATTTTAGGAAAAGGTTTCAGGATCACAAGACAGCTGTGTGACTGCAGGAGATACAAAAAACAGCCAGGCAGCATCAGTGTGAGTATGGTCAGAACCACAGGGATATACTGTATGAGGAAATCACATCTTAAGATTAAATGGACTGCTGTGTTCGAAAGGCTGGATGTGATTAGTGTTTCTTTTGATCTGCTGATGACCGGGTGATGCAGCATATGACTATCCTGCTTGAATTAATATGATGTTTTGTTCTCATCTAGATGGTATCATGTGTCAAAATATTAAATGCCATCAATCCAACACTACCGTTGCTACAGTAGGATCCCAGCAGTAAGAATCAGCAGTGTCATCGGTTTGCTATCTCTGACATGGTACAGCAGTAAATAGCACTTTTTTTATTTTAAGGTTTATCCACAGACCACAGGTGACTGCTTATACAGAGTGATCCATTACAACACCCTCCATTCAAGGTCATTTTCTGAACATTTGGCTTCAGCGTTCAGATATCCATCTGCATGGCCTATAATGAATGCTATTTGCTGTTTTGTACTGCACTGTCATGATCTAGTTTAATCCTAAGTGCCAGAGCTTCCAAGGTTCTAGTTTAACAACTGTTTCCATTTGTTGTTTAAATTCAGGCAGTTTTGGGATATGTGACCTCTTAAACTGTCAATCTAATGAGTGTTGTTAATTAAGTTGCAAATATCTGCCAGTACTGTTTCTTTCTAATGAGCATTAGGTTATCTTTTACTAGAAAAGAATGCCACTTATCAAGTTACAAATCCAGTTGAACATTTGGAAACACGTAGTGTAAATGGAAACAGATTCTTTAAAGCATCACAGAGGTAAACAAGCATCTAATCCAATTGTAAGCTGCACAGTGTTCATTCTGCCACACTTCACTTCTGCAGAACAGTGTCCATGCAAAATTCTTCTGACCTCCCCTTGCATGAGTTGGAATATTGATCGTTTCTTCTTGATGACAACCAGGAGTCAGCTGTAATTGAGCCAAATCAATTAGAGCCCCAAGTTTCCTGATAGCCATCAGGAAACTTCACAGTGTGAAAGCCAATAGTATCTGAGAATGCATTCACTTACTTATGTGCATACAGACCCAAATGTTAGCCAATACCACAGTACTTAAATTTATAAATGATCTATTATGGGGCTCAGATTTGAGTGGATAAAGATATAATAATTTTAACACATTATTTGTTGCCTGCAGATGTGATGCAGGAAACCAGAGACACCAGCAGCACCTGAACATGCATTTCACGCTGGGTGAGATTCATTTCATTTTAAATGTGTCATGAATAAAGAAGAAACTAAATTGGGCTCAACACCAGCATCTTCTGTAAATAAGGCTGGAAATAACTTGACTAATGATGTAAGAAAGGAAACTAAAAGGAAAAGCTACAGAAACAAACATAACTGAGCATTCCCTACTGAAGATGATCTGCAGTGACTTAAGGTTCCAGGTTCAAACTTCGGTTCATTCTCCTCAATTCAATATGCTGCAGTGTAGTGTTCCCCACTGTCTCAACAAACCTGAAGCTAAAATTATAGGTCAGCTGTCATTTTACTGCCTTCCTAATGATGAGAAGGAGAAAAAATGGCTACAGTTTATCAGGTAAGTCATAGAATTCTTAATTTTATAAAAATAAAACTTCTAAAGGTGTCCTGATTTGCTGCCTCGTAATTTAGTTAGCTACAGTAGCTAACATGAAATTAATGTAAACATTATAAATTGGCATTTTGTATTGAGGCAGACAGACAGACAGAGTTTAAGGGTTCTGTGCAGTATCTTAGTACTGCACTCTTCTGGACAGAGAGCTCTGATGTTGTTCCTGGGATCTGTTAAAGCCACTCTTCCAGTTAAGGAGTCACAGCTCCAAACGCTCCTACCACCACTGGGACAACTTTGGCTTTCACCTTCCATATTCTCTCCAGTTCCTCTTTCAGGTGTTGGTACTTCTTCAGCTTCTCATACTCCTTCTTGATGTTGCTGTCATTGGGAACTACTATGTCTACCATCACTACCTCCTTCTGTTCCTTGTTTGCTACCACAATGTCTGGTTGGTTGGCCAACTAGGTGTGGATCGGGCACTGTCCAGCTCTTCATGTTCTTGACTGATTTCATACAGTCTGATGGTGACTGGTTCATGTTCTGGGAGATTCCTGTGGTCTCAGGTCCTGCACTCCACTGGGCACTGGTGTTATGTGTCTTCTCTTCCTCCCATATGCTCTTTCCAGTACTGATTGGTTTCTGCTTTCTCTTCAGGGTGGTGCCAGTTCCTTGCATTTCTCCAGTAGCCTTTTCTTTATTTATTTTGACGTTTACTATGTGGATTGTTCTAAATAAAATGTAAGTAACTGTATATAACATGAATAGATGTCATATCTCCTGAATTAAGAAACATTTTTTCTTCTGATCTTCAGCAATTTATCCAACCAGACATGTGACACTTCCCATTTACTTATGACACATATATCCTATTCAATTACAGATTTCAATAACTTTCAATTTCTTTCCTTTATGAATAAAGGCTTTGGTTGTTGGTACTGAGCATTTGATTCCCAGTACAATACTGAATCATCCCATGATCCAATTAGGCCACCATTATTAGATGTTAAATCATCCTTTTGTAATAGAATCTGATTTGATTCCTGTTTTAGATGGTTAGAGCTGCAGCAATGCACACTGTAGGCTACAACATAATGAAAACAAACTAATTTATAAAAGCACAAAACAAAACCCGATTCACTGCCAGAACAGATGTACTCTGTTTATCACTGCCAAAAACATGAACCGCTTTTGGTAACTCGATTCATCCTTCCCATATGTTAATAAAATCTGCTTGTACAAATATTTCCACACTTACTTATAATATTACTCTGAGTGCTGTTATTACTATGGGTTCCCTGTATCTCCGATGGAGGATTGGCTGCGATCTCCCAGAATATAATCTCTGCCATTCTAGTAGGATCAGTTGAGAACCAGCAACAACTACATGGCAAGTACAGATCGTTATAACGCAGCAGAAACATTGGAGACTGAGGCAGACCACTACAGATTGTCCATTATCATTGTTTTTGGCTGGTTTCACACGTCTTCAGGCACAAAATATGTTTACAGGGTCATTCACCTGCCACCTACTCAGGCTGAGTAATTGGAAATGACAACTGTTACATATTGCATTTCCAGTACAGAGGAAATTTGGTTAGTGGTTCTGTGCTTCAGTAAGTACTTATTGCATCAGCAGGGTCCTTTGTGTTTTACATAAGCAGCTGCTGAAAAAATTGTAATAAACTTACATTGCATCCTGCATCCAATGTTAACCAGTGAAAAAGCTCAGAGGAAACCTTTACTACGTGACACTTGCAAAGGAGTGGCTGACATGTCTTCTTACTCTACCTGCAAACTAAAGAGGTACAAAAGGCAAAAATGTTGACACTGTAAAGGTTAATTTTAGTTTTTGACAGTGTCCAAGTATACAGAATTTGTTTTTACAAGTGTTAGTCTATAAAGAAGAGCAGGCAGTAAAATCAATATCTACCATATTCTACTGTTGCTGTCAATGCAATGAACTCTAAAATAAAGTCCATCAGGCAAAGCTATTTTAAAAAAATTAATGACTAATGCAAGTAAATATGTGCAGGAGCCAGAGTGTTTAATAAATTAAGAAAAAAAATGGAATAAAAAATTCAAGTAATTTGCCTAACATCAAAAAGAAAAAAAAAGTAGCTCAAAACATCATTTACATAAGCTTTGAAACACACTAGCTCAGCTTTTAGAATAATGAAAGCTAATCACAATGATTGTCTGTCCTTCACTCTGCTCCTCTCAAATAGCATTAAAGAGCCCTGCCCAAAGTGAACAGCGGTGCTACTTGTTTCAATTAGTGCTGCAGTGCCATTAACATAAGTAATGAGAAGCACTCTCTTCACTTGCGGTCCATATGTATTGGAGGGCAAGAATGAAAACATGACATTGTTAATAAAGATAATGAAACTAAATTTATTCGCTGAGTTATCTCCATGAGAATTGATACATAAACTGAAAGACAGGATGTTCACACTTGTTCACAGACAAGATGATGTTCTAAAGCTATTTTTTATTACATGTGCATTTTCAGTTCTCTGTTAAGCGACTGAGGTTTCATTAATATATGTAACAGACATGATTAAATGTGGTAGCAAACAAGGATTCAGCATTACACATCTTAATGTATCATTAGATGTCACATGCTATTTTTATACTGCAGTCTGAATTAGTAATCTGTCAGTGGTGTGAAATAGAGGACATCATTTCACTGGTCCCTAATATATAGTTAAGGCCTGTCACACAGTATAATTTGCAGCTAACAGAAAAAATAAACATGAACATCCTGGTGGACTGTTTGTCACTCATGTCTTCCATGTGAATTAGAGCCAGGGATCGTTATTGCATGTCATCCTCACATTTCCTATTTTTGTCCACTGTCATCATTCCAGTGAAACACAAAAAAAAAAACTCTTCAAAAAAGATTTGATCACCTAAATTTCTATGGACAAGAGGAGTGATAACATGAACACAGGTCATTAAGCTGCTCCTACAGATTCCCGCAGTTTAAAAGAACATGGCCTGAATATGATTCTTTTGTAGGTAAAGCATTAAATCAGTAAATTAATAAAAAAAATCTTGGAATTCATTCGGCAGAGGAAGCATGTTTCACACAGCAATGATGAAAACTGCAAGAAAAAAAAAGAGGATCTTTTAAGTGCAAGAATTAATGCCTGTGGTGAGCAGAAGTGAATATTAAGTATACACTGGTAAATGCCTCCATTACAGGTGTGGGGTTTCTGAATTTAGTTTCTCTATAAAAGCATGATAGTACCTGATGGAAAAAAAAACCATGGATAACAAGAAGACCTTCATGGCATTTTAAAAAATGGTGGACCACTCAGGATAGTACAAAAAGTACAACGAGGGTTTAAAAAAACCCTTCTTTGCTGTGTTATATGAGACAACACTCAGTGGAGTGCACGCTGTAATGCAGCTTTTAGACCGGAGTCGGGCTGTTAAGTAGAGCGGAGACATATTATAGTTATTAGAGGATTAATATCTAATATCAGCACAAGTTTAATATGAACATCAGCATAATAAGGATGAACCAGATCCGAGGACAAGGTCACAGCAACCTTTTCAGCTGAATCCATGCATAGCAAGTTTGTACATTCAACAGTGCATGCCCGAGTCACAGGGCGCTGTGAAATTTTAACCAGCTGTGTAAAAGTCACTGATGCAAACAAGAAGTGATACAAGGCGTGTGCCATCAATTTGTTACTTTGAACATGGCTGCTGATTTCAAAAAACCAGAACATACTTTGTGCTATGCATCATAAGTTGCAAAAGCAAATGTTTTTCAGCTATGCTTCTGCATACCAACAGGCACTGCTGGTCAAACATAAATGAAAGGAAAGCAACTAATTTATGCGAACATTCACACTATTAGCAGACTAATGAATTTTAATGCAGGTTATCAATTCTAGACCAAGAAATTCACAGAAAAATAAGAGGCTTTGCTTTACTAAGCTGCTGCCTGTTGTGCTAGCTATCGCCCACAGAGGACATTTTAATCACATTTTGTCCAAAGAAACAACCATCATCATCTGCTGTCTTTCCTTCTAACTTTCATACTATCCTTCAACCCAGTTAATGATTTTTGTATTATGGATGGGACTTTGACAACAGAATATTAATAAACAATTAAGGAATTTGCCTTTGCCACTGAGGTTTGAATATATATTACAAATTAAATGGCAGTTTAAATAAACTGCCGGACAGAATAGGCCATATTTGATAAAAGGTGATTTTTTTTTTTTTGTCATCTGCACTAGATTAAATCATAATACCACCACACAATACTGATGGAACTGACAATAATAAAAGAAAGAAAGAACAAACATCTAATAAAAGCCCCAACTCCGTATATTTTCTTTACTTCTGTGTAGATAAAGAACCTTTTGTAGAAGGGGCTCCCTGAAGCATGTAAACAAGCAAATAAGTCATTTTCCAAAAAGAAAGTAGTGATTACTTGCTTTAATTAACTTTGTTTTTTCATCTGTTCATAAAGACGACGAGGAAAGTCAAAGTCTTTCTTGTTTATCCGGTAAAAACCGAAAGCGTGTAAAGAGGGAAAATTTGTATTATGGAGGTTGTGGTGCAGTGGTCCAGAATATTTAATGTAAATAAAGCCGCAAACCACTTAGTGCCAGAGGAAAATGAAAAGTGACTTAACTGCTGTGGAGGAGGGAAAATGGGCCCTTATGTAACTATGTATCAAGAAAATGCATTGTTGTTACTTATGTGCAAGAATTGTGTGGTTTGTAACTGGAACGATTGCTTAATGCTATTGAAATAATTCAGAGAAATCGCTTTTAAATCTACAAAGGAATCTGTTTTATACAAATACTCATTTATCATTGTATGAAGGTCACGTTCATGATTGTTTTGTTCTTAAAAGAGAGAGTTTGCAGACAAAAATTAAAGACAACACGATGCTGCTGAGAACATAAATGTATAAGCACTGCAAGTAGAAATGTTACTAAAATGGTATTTAAGGTAAAGAAAGTTAAAGTAAAGGCATTTAAGGTAAAGAAACCACTCTTTCAAGTGGAAGACGGAGGGATATGATGGTTAAGAATGTGGGAGGCATAAATGCATCAAGACAATATAAATCCTCATTCAGCACATGACTGTCTGCAATTTATTTCAAGCTACAGTAGATGATCTCTGTAATTTTACAAGCAGGTAAATTAAATTTATATGACTTTAAGTGATAACTGTAATTGCTTCCTACCATTCACCCTGAAATGATTTCTGTGACAACAGTGGGAACAACTATACATGTGGTGCACTGACCGGTTTGACTATCTGGCATAAGACACAGCAGCTACACCCTTGGGTGAAATCATTTCTAACAACAGTGCGGCTATACATGTCATGCTGTGATCTAATGGTGGAGCTACGTCACCTAAACCTAAGATTTATCGTTCTGTTTTGTTTGGAAGTTACCCCACTGAAGCACAGCCTGCAAAAAAACATGCGGTATGACTATGAAACAAATGCTTCTCTTCTTCTTCTAACACAGCGCTCATTGTCACTGCCTAGTCTCTCCTCCTCTGCTCTGAAGACACCATTTTGGTTTTATGTTTCCTGCTCTGAGCAGTGCAGTGGGAGCAGCATCTTTGTTTTACAGTCTAAATAATGAGGCCAGGACAGCTGAATGGGCTGGTATAATAAAAATATATAACTTTGCTCTTCTCTCAATTATCACTGTATGCATTCCTCATCTTGACAGTTCTGACAATGATTTCTCCATGTATTTGTTAAATGTGACTATGCAAATAATTGTATTTGTACTTTTTTGAAAGTGCTGTTTGGCTTGTGCTTTTCTATCTTTTTCAGAGGAGATGACCTTTTGGTGTATGTAAAGCCATTCATCTGCAGAGCAGAGTCGAATGATAATGCATTGATGCTGTCAAGCAGAACCTTTTATAATAAAGGTGAACCACCGTGCCATGATGATTTAAAGGCCCAAGTTATTTTATTTACATTCAACTACTATGTTACAGTTTACGACAATGTTCCCAAGTTATGTCTGCTAAATGATGTCAGTAGCAGCTGCACAACTATTCTGAAGTTAGCCTTTATTTCACATAAAGATTTTAGAGACACACAGAACACACATGGCCATGCTGCGCTGAGTGTTCAAGTTCTCTGTCTCATGAAAACGGTTCTTAATATGAACACAGAAGGTGCCGTTATTGCTCAGTCTGATGGATGTCCTGTTGGCTACAATGTGAAACTACCCCACCCTCTTCTTTGGTCAAAGCAAGAGCTATTCCTTGAGGGGAGACATGCTTTGATTGAAGTATTTACGACAAGACAGAAATGTGATGGCACAGAGAATGCGGGTGACAGTGACACATGACTGAGCAGATTACGGAGAACAGACTGTAGATCAGCCCTCAGAATCGTGATGCCTCCCTGTATTGTGTTGAGGTTAAAAGGCTCACGTCTCAGGGAGCTGCATTACTCTACCCCCTGCTCTATCTGATATCGCACACCACAGAACAAAGACCATGTCAGCACAGCCAGAAGAACCCCAGCAGACAGGTTGGTAAAACTAAAAATGCACTGTGACAGGACACTGACCAGGAGTGTTACATCTACTGTAGATGTCTTGTAGCGCATGACAAAATATACCTGCCTCTGTGTGACCACAAGCGGTCTGTTGGTGTATTAGAGCAGAGTGGAACGAAGTGCTCTCCTATGTAAAAGAACCTGTTTTAAAAGGAACCAGTTTTAAAAGCAGGAGATACTGCTTAATGCGGTACAGCACTTCTAGCAAATGCAGATGACTACTTGAATAAGTGCAGTTTCTCCATCTCTGCGGTTTATTTTAATCATGATAAGTAGCTTTACTGTTTAGTAAAAGCAAACAAAGCAACCACACAAACAAAAGGAAAATTTTACTGCCTTAGTTTGTATAACTCAAAGCCCTGCATATTCCTTTTCTTAATTCTTTGTGCTCGTGGAAGGGTTTAAGAAAAATATTATTTTTCACTGATATCAGGGAGAGTTAAAAAAATAAAATAAAACATTAGCATTAATAAGTGCAGGAGCATGTAAAGTAACACTTGTTAAATATCTTCACTTGATAATCGATAATATAACTGCCTGGAGAGGACTCCCCTGCTTTAAAGTACCCTACAGTACCAAGCATAGCATGAAATGTGCACTCTAATTGACTGAGGTACCTTGGTATTATTGCTGAGGGGGGAAACAACTGATAATCATTATCTTATGCCAGTTGTCTTGCAAGTTTCCCAGTGCTAATCAGTGCTATTTTCTAAGATTTAAGACTGTATATCCCATAAACTCTGCTGCCTCTTGTTATAAAATGGCTCTCTGCACAGCCCAGTACAGTTTTTACAGCACTGGGGTTTCAAAAAGTAAAACAAATAGACTGTATGGTAGACACCTGCCAGTAAGTACACAAGATCCAGCAGATTCTGTGTGAAATGTGACCCAGTGACTCACAATGTAAAATGAGAGGAACTTGATTGTCTCAGTGTCGGTCAGCTTTAATGGAATTGTGAAAACACCTGTTTTAAAGCCCCCTTTCCCCCCACTGTATTTGACATCAATACCTATTGAAACATTTTACCTGAAGTGATTCAGGCCCAATCCATTATTATTAACAGAAACACAGTAACACTACCAGCCAAGAGACTAAGTACTTTCTCATGTTACATTAGTGTAATCATAATAATGACACACTTAGACAAGAGAGGGTCATTACTGACTGATTGGCTGTCCTGTCCATTACTGACATGACAAATGGATCCAGCACTTTCATTTCTACATCTATTTCTCATTTTGTCCATGGGACCCCTATCTCTTTGCTTCATCTAATGTGTCATGAAAATATGAAGTATAATATATACTGCCTTTGAAAAAAAAAGAAGTGTTATCCTGTCTTCACAAATACAAGTGCACCTCTTGTGCATGTTACACAGCTGCACACACATATCCATCTGTTCCATTTCAAGTGAAGCTGATCCAGAATGATGTACATATCAGTGTCAAGATATAAATCCCGCTGTCAGTCTCAGCTGTTGCTATCAGTTTATGTCCTGTGAAAATGAAATGGTTACCTGAGCAGATCATCACTACTTACACTGATTGCACACATTGTTACACAGCTGAGAAGTCATCTATTTCCCTTACTGCAGGGCACATTTCAAATGCAGTGACAGTAAAAGGGGGCTGCAGGAGTAGCAAGCATTTTCAACATTCACCAAGGCCGCACAGACTCCTGACTTAAGATGCACTATTTTTATGGTGGCACAAGCAGTGCTCTGTCCATTTGGCAATAACATTGTTTTGGGTGATTCTATGGTACTTTGGTGCTGAGTGCAGAGTGCAGAGGTGGGAGGTGAGGTGCAAATGGGTGTGCAAAGTGAGCTGCTTGTATTTGACAAAAATGCTTCAGACATCTCAGACCTACCACCTTTTTCTGGTGCAATGTTACTTCACTGTCAGTCTAGTGATTTTATCAACAAGAGCAAACAAAATAATCGATTGAATGGTACTTAAAATGTAAATAAACCATTTAAGCAATCACTCTGCAGCCAGTAAATAATGCTTACTGTGGTTAACGCAGAACACCAGTCTGCTTTTATCTATAAATGAATGAGTCTTTCAAAGAGTATCTGTTCCCTGATTTGAGAAGTGCCAGAGCGCAGTGCCATTACACACACACGACCATCCACCGTGTTTACCTTCATTAAATCACGTGCAAATGATGCCAGGCTGCTTCAGAATAACCCATGCTATTCTACACATGAGGCAGATCAGTTTCAACTCGGTATTCTGCTGTTTATGTGGGAGATGTCAGATAACAGCAGCTCATCAGTTCTGTAAGACACTGTCTCCTTTCCTGGTTTCTTTTTGACAAAGTGGTGTTTCATGTTTTATTGTTGAAATGAACAATGGTGCAAACACTGCTGTATCGCTTTTTAGGAGATGACGGCGTGAGATACAGTAGGATTAAAGCTGAAATAGCATCGACTGACTCGGTCAAACAGCTTCATCAACCTTTTTATTTTTTATTTCTACAATCAGGTAAAAAACCAAAATGCACACCATCTGTCTCTGGCTGCAGATTAGTGATGGTGTGTGTTCACATCATGCCCCTCTGCAACATCCAAACAACAATATAATCTCCTAGAGAAGCATCTTTCCATTTGATGAGCTGTTGTTGTCAAACTTCGCTGTGATTGGCACAGCTGTTTCAAAGCAATTAGGCCCTGATCTGACGGGCAGAGAGCAGATTTATTAATCACCACACCCCCTGATCTATATGCACCCTCACCCTGCCCATCTGCACCTTGGTGCTGCTGCACTGACATGAACCAAGGCAGCAGGTGTGTTTGGAGATTCTCACACCGCTCTGGAGCTTTTACCTGCTGACAGCCATGGCTGATATAATAATATTTTTGCAGATATTTAAGTCTGTCTAAGTCTGTAAAATAGAACCAAATAAATCACTGGGTGTAAGCCAGACTCAGCAGGATACTGAATTAATAGACTCCTTGGCAACTGATTTATCAAACGGACAATGTCTTGCAGACCTGGTTTCCTTTGCAATCCCTGTATAAAAATAAATCCATGTTCAAATACTCTTACACATCACAATCTGTGATATTCAGTGTATTTCAGAAGTTATTTTGTGATGAACTACTATAATTTACCTTTTTCTTGGCATACCCACTTGTCCTCAACCTGTCTTATCACCTTCAGATTGATTTTATACATCTCAGACTACTGATGACCCCCTGTGAACTTGTTGCTTTCAGCTGTTGGTGTTATGTGTAGCTGTGCAGGGTGATAGTGACAATGGCAGTGACAGCAGGAGATCAAAATTTTCTTGAGGAAAAAAGCAGGAATCATATCCTTTACTCAACTGTATCACGTCTTGTGTCTGTAAAGCATTATGGTTTATTGCAGCTACTTCCGATTTCCTTCCTCCCTGAGAGCTGAGCATCAGCGCAAAATTGTCAAACTATTTGATTCCACTTGACATTTGTTATTTGTGTTTTGAATAATTTTATACATTTCCTGTTATCAAACTGTACTGTAACTATGGAAACAACAAAATGTGATTTCACTTTTCTGTCTTTGGTCAGTTATTCATGTATCTAAGAAAGTAAGCATAATAAAATTTGGCAGTTCAATCAGTATTTTTATATTGACAATGGATCATATGACTGTTTACATGTGAACGGTGTCACTCCTAGTGAAGGATCCACAGAGAATGACCGCCTGACTCTGCTGTTCCTCTCACAGAGGGTTTTAGTAGCTTTATGCTCATTGTATTGGTTTTCCATCCACTGCATCGTAGCATGCCAGGTGTCTTCGCCAAATAGTCCAAAAATCCAATGCACACTACCTGTTCTGTACCAAACAGCAATGAGGCAAACCTGACAATAGGATGGTGAACACAGTGGGGCATTTTAGCATCTAAAGAAGCAGAATATTCTCTCAAAACCAAAGCTAAACATTTGCAAAGCGGCAGAAAATATGTCACAACAACTGTCTGCTAACTATCTTGCCATACATCAGTGATATGGTTACAGCTTTTTCCAATGCCCAAGCAGCAAACAAACAAACAAAACAAAAACTCTGCTAATGCATGCTTAACAATAGAAATGCAAATTTATGTTGAGGAACTATGATAATGTGGTGCACAGAGAGTGATGTACCTCTGTTCAGTTCCATCTTTTTGCCAAGAATCCACTGAGCGGTAGTTCTCTTGACCAAGGCGCTCCATCCCATCCAACAGATGCGTACTTCCCAGTGAAGTGACTTCACTGAACAGGAAAAAAATTGCAGATTTACAAGTATTAAGTGATGTTGCAGTATGGCAGCCATATACTGAGCCTGAGGGGCTTACTGTTGGTTCTATTAGACCTGGGATGGAAACTAAAAGATAACACAATGTGTCAGGTTACCTTACTATTTGTCATCATGCCCCCCACCCCACCCTTCTCACACACTGTGACAAGCTGACAATGATATTTTTGGCCCTGAGACATGTATCTCTAGGTAATTGGTTCCTCAGCTCTCACCTAACGGGAGGTGCGCACTGTTCTGCCACCACATGCTCACAGGTTTAAGGTGAGCTGCTGAGGGTCAGATGCATCCAATGTTCTCAGATTTACAGCAGGGGGTCCAACTTCTTATCTTATCTGTTGGAAGGACAACCTTGCGTGAGACAGCCAGAAATAAGATTGAAACTTATTGGAAATCTTGTATCTATGTTTTATTTTCTTCAAAAACTAAGACCAATACTAATATTGGCATTGGTCATTTGTCTCACTATTAAATTATCCATATACAGTGCCTTGCGAAAGTATTCGGCCCCCTTGAACTTTGCGACCTTTTGCCAGATTTCAGGCTTTAAACATAAAGATATAAAACTGTAATTTTTTGTGAAGAATCAACAACAAGTGGGACACAATCATGAAGTGGAACGAAATTTATTGGATATTTCAAACTTTTTTAACAAATAAAAAACTGAATAATTGGGCGTGCAAAATTATTCAGCCCCTTTACTTTCAGTGCAGCAAACTCTCTCCAGAAGTTCAGTGAGGATCTCTGAATGATCCAATGTTGACCTAAATGACTAATGATGATAAATAGAATCCACCTGTGTGTAATCAAGTCTCCGTATAAATGCACCTGCACTGTGATAGTCTCAGAGGTCTGTTTAAAGCGCAGAGAGCATCATGAAGAACAAGGAACACACCAGGCAGGTCCGAGATACTGTTGTGGAGAAGTTTAAAGCCGGATTTGGATACAAAAAGATTTCCCAAGCTTTAAACATCCCAAGGAGCACTGTGCAAGTGATAATATTGAAATGGAAGGAGTATCAGACCACTGCAAATCTACCAAGACCTGGCCGTCCCTCTAAACTTTCAGCTCATACAAGGAGAAGACTGATCAGAGATGCAGCCAAGAGGCCCATGATCACTCTGGATGAACTGCAGAGATCTACAGCTGAGGTGGGAGACTCTGTCCATAGGACAACAATCAGTCGTATACTGCACAAATCTGGCCTTTATGGAAGAGTGGCAAGAAGAAAGCCATTTCTTAAAGATATCCATAAAAAGTGTCGTTTAAAGTTTGCCACAAGCCACCTGGGAGACGCACCAAACATGTGGAAGAAGGTGCTCTGGTCAGATGAAACCAAAATCGAACTTTTTGGCAACAATGCAAAACGTTATGTTTGGCGTAAAAGCAACACAGCTCATCACCCTGAACACACCATCCCCATTGTCAAACATGGTGGTGGCAGCATCATGTTTTGGGCCTGCTTTTCTTCAGCAGGGACAGGGAAGATGGTTAAAATTGATGGGAAGATGGATGGAGCCAAATACAGGACCATTCTGGAAGGAAACCTGATGGAGTCTGCAAAAGACCTGAGACTGGGATGGAGATTTGTCTTCCAACAAGACAATGATCCAAAACATAAAGCAAAATCTACAATGGAATGGTTCACAAATAAACATATCCAGGTGTTAGAATGGCCAAGTCAAAGTCCAGACCTGAATCCAATCGAGAATCTGTGGAAAGAACTGACAACTGCTGTTCACAAACGCTCTCCATCCAACCTCACTGAGCTCGAGCTGTTTTGCAAGGAGGCATGGGCAAAAATTTCAGTCTCTCGATGTGCAAAACTGATAGAGACATACCCCAAGTGACTTACAGCTGTAATCGCAGCAAAAGGTGGCGCTACAACGTATTAACTTAAGGGGGTTGAATAATTTTGCACGCCCAATTTTTCAGTTTTTTTATTTGTTAAAAAAGTTTGAAATATCCAATAAATTTCGTTCCACTTCATGATTGTGTCCCACTTGTTGTTGATTCTTCACAAAAAATTACAGTTTTATATCTTTATGTTTGAAGCCTGAAATGTGGCAAAAGGTCGCAAAGTTCAAGGGGGCCGAATACTTTCGCAAGGCACTGTAAAAGCAGTCACAGTCATATTTAGGTGATCAATTAACAAATAACAAGAATCCCTGTGCCTATAAAGGTGACAATCTAAGTACTTGTTTTACCACATACGTTAATTAATTGTGTAACAGAAAACTTGCAAACTTCTGCTGTTTATATTTCTGAAATTTCACTTTTAATTAATGTTGTCAGTAACAGTAGCTGAGATTGGTTTCGACTCAGAGGCAGCAGAATATCAACATGCCCTTCCTTTTCTTTTTCATTACACTGTTTTATTGCCAGAGGAGAGGCAGGAGGTGAGACAGGGGAAATGCATTGCTGCAAGATTAGGCTTCAAAATATACCCAGTGAGTGATAACTAGTCATGTCCGGTCATCAGAATTTGTTCTGAAATTTCAGGGTAGGACCCAGGATCTGAGCAGAACTTTGGTGAATGTGTGTGAATGGGTGTTTGACTCTTGTTCTATTCCATTCCACAATTCCACGACAAAGGCCCAGTCAGCACCATGTGTGAGTCTAGATCTAGGCACCTTTAAGGAGCAGCTGGTTAGAAAACCTAAGAGATCTTCCTGATGAATAACAATATAAAAGCTCTGAAATATATGAGGGTGCCAGATCATGCAACTTTTAAAAAGAAAAGATTTTATCTTAAAAGTAGTCCTGAAACACAGAGGAAGCCAATGGAGAGGGTACAACATCGGGGTTACATGTTCGCATTTCCATGCATTAGTCAGAAGACGAGCAGCTGCATTTTGAATGAACTGAAGATGAGACCGGGAACCTTCATCCCAACATACAGTACATAACAATAATCAATCCTGGAGGTAATAAATTCATGAACTGCCTTTTCAGGGTTGTTAAATGAAAGGAAGTGCTTAACCCTAGCTAATAACCACAGCTGAAACAAGCTCGCTTTAACCACCAAATTTACCTGCAATCCAACTTAACGGCACCATCAAATACCACCCCTAGGTTTTTCACCTGCGGCTTCAGATAGACCGCCATCAGGCCAAGATCACGGTTGCAATGACCACCAGGGCTGCCAAAGGCATGTAAGAGATGTAATGAGAGCCATGTTTTGATGTCACGCAGACAATCAAATAAAGATGATAGTGAGCAGCTCTTCATTCCAGTGACAAGCAAATAAATTTGAATATCACCAGCCAAGTTTTTATTATGATGGCCTCATTGCTCATTATATACACTACCAGTCAAAAGTCTGGAGACACTGTCAGACTGAACTGAATGGGAAAGTGTGTCACAAAAATTAAGATACATAAAACTAAATAAAATAAATGTAGCTTTGTAAAGATAAACCAGTAAAGTCCACACAAGGCTGCACAATCCATCTCTTCTATACACATACAAAATAACTGATAATGAACATAGGCTGAAAATCCAGGATTAGTACATTAGATAAATATTTGCTGTATGCGTGACAGAGAATACATTGCCAGCAAACTATCAGTAAAGCCAGGAATTCCTAACCACTGTAGATTTTGTCTAGCTGTGCTAGCAGATAGAAAAAAAAACTCTGGCTGAAGGCATTCTGTCTTCCCTAGCATCCTGCCAGTTTTGTTCCACTACCCATTTGTCAACAGTGATGTCCAATCGCTCAGTGCCAGGCAGCCAAATCAGCACCTTGTCACTTTTGAAATGACAATTTGAGTCTCAGTCAAGTCTGCAACCAGCTTGAGCCTTAGAGCCACTCACTATGTCAAAACAAGCAGTAAAAATAAAACCACCTAATCTGAAAGCATAGGCTTACATGCAATCTACAAGCCTGACCACATTAGAGCTCTGAGGTGACTTTGAGATTGCGGACTTTCCATTTATCAGAAGCAGTAATGCAGAGTTGATCCAGAAGACTGAAGCCCTCTGTGGAAGCTTATTGCACAGCATGACAAAATGTCAGTTTCATCTCACAGCAAAATAGTCAAAGAGCCAAAGGATATGTCACGGTCAATCAGCCATGTAACATAAGCAATCTAAGACGAACATAGACCCCAGTAGTGTTGAAACACAAATTGAAGAGGTAAATTATTTTACGTGCTGCAAACCTTATTACAAAGCAAGTCTCACTGTGGCAATTAAGGGTGAAGCCATCCTGTGATTACCACATCAGTCACCCCAGTAAGCCATTCTATCACCTGTATGATTCTGTGGCATCTCACCGTTTTCACACATTGTAAATATTCCCCATGCTGATGTCAGCACGTTCACCAAAGTCAGAATTAACAGACAGTTGTACCGAGAAGAGGTTAGATTCAAAAATAGATGCTCACGTCTGTTAACGTTTGAAGAGGTGCAACTGCCTGATGGCACAGCTTTTGATCAGCTGACAGCGACATTTTTAAAAAGCCTCCGGATGAGTTGCATGTCGCAAAGAAGCATTTCAATGATTAGGTGTTAAGAATGAGCCGCTGTAGCAACAACAAACTGAGTGGTGTATAGCCATTGAAGTCTTTTTCCTTCATCAGCTGTGCATTAACAAATAGAGGAGCTATCAGAATGCAAGCTACTGATACTGTAGTCCTCCTTTGATGTGAAATTCAAGCTTTACCCCATCCACCCACCTACATGTACTTCTGCATATTTCTGAAGCAGTCACACAAAGATGCAGTGAAAGCACAGTGGGTGTCCTTATTACCACCTACTGTACTGTACTACAGGCCTGCGCTCACTTTCACGAGTGCCTTCATTTCTGTTAACAGAACACACTTTAGTTCCCACTCCACACCAGGTCCAACACCCTCTTAACTACTTTCTATTGTTTAACATTTTCTCCTCTTAAGTGAAAGTTACAAATGTGCTTCTCAGGCATTACATTTATTTATAAGTCATTACCAATGTCCACCACTATCAATGTCCAAAGTTTAACTAGCGTAAAACCGCAGCAGCCACACAGAATAGGCCGATGGGGATATATTTGAGCTTTCATTATTCTACTTTATGCTTTCTGCAAATTTGCAGCTATGTGTAAAGGAACAAAGGTCCTTTATTCATTTCACATAAGTGTAGAAAAATGGGAACCAGCTGATCTTTTCAAACCAAATGAAACCATGACCAAAACAGGCCTATAATATTCAACTAAACTTAACCAGAATTATTTTACCTAACTCTAATCTCAAAGGCAAAAACGTATTTTTGTAGTCACTAACTGCCTGTCTCAGAAAGTCACACGTGTCACTGAGAGCAATATCAGAAGTGTGATTGTCTCATTATAGTTTCTTGCAATTCTTGGTGATAAATACTTAACTTTACACTGTAAATACGTACGTGGGAAGTCAAAGACTGCCTGCACCCATTAGCGTCCTTCACTAAAAGCACTCAGTGCAGATTGTGGTTCCAGTCACAGCATAAGGACTGCAGTCTGTCTTGGTGTAAAGGTGACTATTTCACCTGAAATTAGATTTATGTAAATGAAAAATGGGTGCCAAACACTGCCTGGCTGTTGATTCATCAAGTGAATTGGCTGAAAATGAATAATGACACGTGCTCTGGCAGCCAACATAGACCCTTGAAGAGACCAGATGATTGATATGCTCAGTCCCACTTTATCTGATTAACTTCTGTTCCTAGTTTAGAAAGAGGCATTTCAGATCTCTCCAAATTTACAGAAAAGAAAACATTTGACTGATTCTGTGATGTAGTGAAATGCTCACTGACACCTTGTTAAATTGTATAATCCATGGCTTGGCTAAAATGGGGGTGGTAAGACCTTTCCAGAGCATCCAAATCAGGCTAGCAGACAAAAAGTCAAAACTTCTCTATTCCATCAACCTGTAGGATAAATGTCTTTTTCTGAGTTGTAAATTAATGAATCTATAGGGAATTAGAATTTCATAAAAATCCAGATCAGTGGTTGGATTTTTTTCTTTAATGTTTCGCACTGCTAAATCTTACAGTAGCTGAAATTATTTTTCATCAGCTTCACCCTTCATCTGAAAATCAGATATTTACAAACTAATTCTTATTATTCATACCTAGAATCTCAATTTTGCAAACTTTGATACAAAGTCTTTAAACAATGCAGTCTTATTTAAAATAATGTGATTTGTGTAAATAAATTACTGGCAACATTTTGTTTAGTTGTTTGACATTAACATAGCAAACAAAAAGCACTGGTTTCTTCTAGTAAGTACACCAAAAACGATGGTTTGCCATCCTCTCTCGTGTTTTTCAAGTCACAGCTTCACTAGGATCATCAGTGATATCAGTACATACTGTGGCGACCCTGACCGGCCGCCGATATTCATGTGTTTTGTTGTGTGCAAATGGGTTTGACACTGTTGTTGAAAGCTGTGCATGTATTGGTTACCGTTGTTTCGGTGAAATACCCGCGCTGTTCTGCCCAATGTGGGGTTTGGGGAGGAACCAGTACGGGAGAGTATAGGAGGGGTAACAGGTGGGTGTGTCAGGGTGATCGCAGTTGGCGCGGAACATGGAATGCCCTGAGGGAGTGTTGCTACTGCTTTCTTTTTCTGCTATTTTCTTTTTCCTGTGAGCACACGGTGCCAGGTATATCGCAGTCTCATTTTGCATTCTTATTCTGTTCAATAAAAGCCAAGAAAAGACAGAGAAGGTGTTCTCCTCAATGTCAGCCTAGGTGCCAGCACACAGCTGGATAGTTAGATGTCACAGTTTAGGATAGGGTCAGGCCAGCTCCGCTCATCCGAACCAGTGGAGCGCCACAATACTTTTTGAATTAATATCAGGTCCTGCTCTTGTACTGCCACCTGATATGTTGTTTACAACAAAAGTACTTTTCTTTTTCTGGGAGGACTGACACTTGTAAACAGGGTGCAATTAAAAGCTCAACCAATGTGATTATGGGGATGAACAAAGCTGAGCAAAATCTGTTCTACAACTGCTTTTCAAAAACATGTCAATTAAAGCCCATTATAAAGTCAGATTGATAAAATGAACACAGTTTTACAAAAGTGCAGACATTGATTACTCCTTTGCACACAGCCATAATATCCAAGCCATTCAGAGTTAGGCTAAGATACCTAACAGCATCTCATTGCAAAAAGTATGAGATGAGCACAGGAGGAGAGAAGACTAGTTAAACATAAAGGGCATGTAGAACATTAACGTTAGATATTCATTTGAATGTCAGAAACTTACCAAGTGAGCATGTTATTCACCAAACTGAAATACATTTACAAGCCAGCTAACCTAATCACTGAAGTAGCCAAACATAGATGTTACACTTTATATTTTAAATATGAAAAGATCATAGTGAGGTGGATCTGAGTGGGCTAAGCTAAGCTAGTCACACATGACTTCATTATCATAAGGAACAGCTAACACACCTGTGGTCTTGGTGTTGTCCCTGTCCCTGTCCCTCTTCCTCTTCCTCTTTCTCCTCCCCCTCCTTGGCAAACCAGTTTAAAGGTGCATTACCAAAATGGGGGATAGCAGCCATGCATGATATAATGTTAGCTCCTTGAAGGATTCGCAAGGCCTCCCACTAATATTAACAACTTTGTAATATTATGCTTCTGTGGAACATAGTGACATTAGATACCTTATACAAAATAAGCCATTTTTATTTGGATTAAGAAAAAAATAATAATTCACTTGTGGAACAAGCAACACGAAGTGATACGGCAAAAAATCACATCTCTATCAAAATGGTTCATCTTTACAGACATTACAGTAGATAAAATATAAAGTTTAATAAGCTGTTAAACGTAAGCAACCTGATTACAGATTATTCTCAGGTTTTCTGTTTTTGCCAAACAGAAATACAAAATTAACAGTGAAAGCCAGAAACATGTTTATTTGTAAAGTTGAAAGCATTTCGACAAAAGAAACCATCTGAAGTTTGAAAGGGTTCAACTCTGTGGCAATTCAGTTCAGTGATGTGTTTTTAATCATCACTCAGGAATAAGCTTTTAAAGCTAATATCTCCACTCTTATTGCCATGTACTTCATGTTGTTTTCAACATGACAGTGTAAACTATGGAATAATCAGCTTCCATTTTATTTGTAATACATTATGTTAACATTTATTTCTAATCCTACATTTAAGACATCCATCCATCCATCCATTATCTATATCTCTTATCCTGAAGGGTGTTACAGGAGGGCTGGAGCCAATCCCAGCCGACACTGGGCGAGAGGCAGGGTCCACCCTGGACAGGTTGCCAATCTATCACAGGGCTGACACTTAGAGACAGACAGCAACATACACACTCAATCACTCCAACAGGGGATTTAGAGTCACCGCTCAACCTGCATGTCTTTGGACTGTTGGTGGAAGCCAGAGTGCCCAGAAGGAACCCACGCAGGCACAGGGAGAACATGCAAACTCCCTACAGAAAGGCACCAGGTCAGCCAGGGTTCAAACCTGGAACCTTCTTGCTGTGAGGCGACAGTGCTAACCACTGTGCTACCATGCTGCAGCACCTTGGGTTACAGGCCTAATCATAGCAGAGAACAGTAGCTTTGATGTTGACAGTGTGTTGCTTCACCCCAGCAAATTTAGATTTAGAGAATGATTCATAGAGCCTTTGTGACATGGATAAAATCTCCAAACTTAAACTTTCTTGTCCTAATGAGGCTGGTCTGCCAGTATGTATGTATGAGTGTTCTTTGTCTCTGAATACATCATGCTTCTGTGATTGTGCACCTCAATGTGGAGAGATATTCTAAAAGGAGTCAAAGCACTGGAGCAGAGTCTCCTGCTTGATATCCTTATTGTGGTTGGGGTGAAGAGGTATTCCTTATCACCCAGACTGTGAGACATGGTGCCATTGTTTTATCATTGCATAACTCAGAAGGTCATTATATTAATATTCAATTTACACATCTTATTTTGTCTTCAAATTGAAATGCCAATGTCCCTACCATTGCATGTTATGGTTAGTTTAATGTTGCAATTACTGTTTGACTTAGTTGTGACAAACTGATGGAGATAACAAGATGATTTTCTCTGCCAGCAGGTTATAGTATGTTGTTATCCCATTACCATGTATTTATTCAGTACCAGGTGTTCTGGATTTTTTTCAGTCAGGAACTCAAATGAGAATAGCATTTCTGTCCCTTGGATCCAGGCTCATTAAAACATCACTGTGTTAAATTGGAGAGCCACCAGACCTGCCCACAGCCCTGGTGAAAGCCTGTGTGGCCTGCCATGTGTAGGCTGCTGCCTTAATAAATAGCTTGTTGAAGTGCCTTATATGCTTTTGAAATTCAGCTCAAATTCTCATCTCCACAGCACAGTGATGCAGCCCAACACCCCCAGAAGGACACTGAGTATTTACCTTTGAAAGCTCAAAACTCATTTTGGATGAATCTGTTATAGTACAAATCAGGTCTAAACTGATGGTGCTCATATTACATTTTACAATAAGTACCCACAAGATTAATCTTTTTATGTTTAATAAAAATACAGTGGAAAATGTGGATCTCAGTGTAAAATTACATTGATACGAGTTATCTATAATAATATAAACTCTGATGAGAGACCAGACTAATGCTTTTCATTACATTTCTTTATTTAGCTTTTTTCAAATCCATGCAAAGACATGACATTTTAAATCTTAGTAAGGTGGACTGATCAGCACATCCTGTATGGGGTAATAAAGACATGCATATGTTTAACATGCACAGATGGAATGATAACAGGGCAGAAAACAAGCTTGTCAAGGTGACTGGCACATCATATTTCTGTGTATAATTCACAGCAAACAAGCACCTGAAGTGTTTCTGGAAACGAAGACAGGGGGCCTGTGTTCTTCTCATTTAAAATTTCCATTTTTCTTTTTCCAAACTGGCCAATAATATCACAAAATGAAGATCCGAGTGTGTGCTCTATGTTGCATCACATTTAAAACTTGACAAATTCTTTTGTTATGATACTACAACAATTTTAATTTAATTTGATTTCTTATAAAAATAAAGTGAACAGATAAATGAGCAGGAAGGTTTTTCCCCTATCTTTTCAGTATCGGTTGTTTAACTGCTAATCTGGCACCACAGCTTTTCAGCAAATGCACAGATTTGGAGTGACACCCCAATCTGTGCACCGTGACTGGCACATCAACCTGCTGTCAGTCAACCTGTCAGCAGTGCAACAGTGCCATCTATGGTGGTAGCGCAAATGAGCCCAGTCACCCATGACACTGTGATGATTTGATTGGACTGCACTCAGCTCCCCAGCCAATGAAGACTGGTTTGTCCACATCAGTAAAATGTGTGTTTTTATGCCTGACAAAACCTAATGACATAGAGAAGTGTATGTAATGTTCTGGAACCCCATTATGCATTGGTAACACATCTTAATAATCATCTTAATAATCTCAGGACATTCTACCTCTCTTTGAAAAAAGGACGTTCACCCTCACCAACTTTTCTAAACGGCTGCTATTAACCCCCAGATTACAGGGGGCATGAGCTCTTTTTATAGCTGGACATAGTATAGGAAATGTGAAATACTGTGAGTAGATTGGAGACAACTACAAGTAGTAATGGAGCATACAATTTTTCAATTTGCATGCTGTGATAAGTAGAGAGACAAGACCATTATTTTCATTCATTCATTTCCAAAGTCATGGCGTACATCCTGAAATTTGGGTCGGTGAACTTTAGAACAATCATGCTTGTGCAGGGTAAGAAATTGCTCTTACACCCTGGCACACAAAGGCCAGTTAAACTATGATCCCATTGAGGAAGTGTATCTTTAATTAAAACAAAGTTACATAGTGATGTAATTAAAGTCAGAATAATACTACAGTCTTTAATTACGAAGTTCACCCAGTAAGGTCTCACTGATTAGATGCCCAAATATGGATGAGACTAACAAGATGTGACATAGAAAAAATAGGCAGTGGAGGTGCTGCAACTCTATCAGGAGCTATTTACCACTGGGGTTTATAGACTTAGAAGGATTTGAGAGGATATTACTCATTCAGTTTTAGAAGAGCGTGAAATCCCTCTTCATGTAAATGAAACAATCAATATCAAATGAATAAACCCATTTAAAGCATACTTCTTAATGATTCCCTGATATTCAGGAGAAAGAATAGATTAAAAACCATATAAAATGCATTGTATAAAGCCCCTTCACTCCTCTCAGATCCCAGTTTTGAAATCCAATTTGAGGTTTTAATCAGAAATAATCAGAATAGCCCGGTAATCTTCAGTGAAGAACAAAAAGCAATTCTCAGCCATTCATACAGGCTGCCTTTTTAAAAATCATTTGACATTGATTACATAAGAAAAATGGAATGTGTTCAGTTGATTCAGCACAGTTCATTATCACATTCACTGAAGTACAAATACCAAAAGGGCTTGCATGCAGTTAAATGAACAAACAGGAGACAAGAGCAGGATTCATATGCCACTTGTCAATGCTCATTTACCTCACTGACCCCACATGTACACTCAATTTATGATGGCAGTGAAACCAAAAAAATAATTGCGGTATTGCACTTATGATGGAATTTCAGGGCTGGTGAGGGCAGAGCGTTGCCCACCTCACGACAGCACAAAACAAATCTGTGGCCAAAGAATGAGTTTTCTTTAATTCAGTCCCATAACATACTGAAATCTAACCCCAGATATCGCTTCCAGTGGGAGAAACAGGTCCATTAGACTGTGGCAGATGAATTTCAGTAGCTTGGAAACTCCACTAAAACCATCTTTAGAAGCACGTATTTTTGCCGTGCATGCTTTCTACCAAATGACCTTCCAGTCACTGAGAGTCCATTCTGAGCATCAGCTTTTACAATCACATTCATGAGCCCTGCTTTATGGGACTCATAAGGCCACCTTCATCCACAAGCTTAATATGTTTGTGTGAGGAATATAAAGCACATAATGTGCAATAAAATATGTCCTTTAATGAATGTTACAGAGAGATTGAGGCATCCACGCTGCTGTGAGTATGAGGCACATAAAAATTGCTAATGGCAACTTCCTGTACAGCTGCTATTAGGGAAAGTGATGTGTCTGGTCTTCACCTCCATTTGAAAGGTTGGAAAACCAAACACAATGCAGGTCAAAGATCATACAACCCAAGCCCCCATGAATTATTTTAGCCAGAACTATCCAGGGTATCGGGGTTCACTGTTGACGTGTTTGACTTGGCGTCTACACTCATGATTTAAAAAAAGGAAATAATTAAATACCTAATAGTTTGGAGTTAAGTATCGGGCCTAAACAGTTATGTCACTAGATGTTTAATTTTGACTTCTTTTTATTTATTTTGTCTTGCTCTGAAGTTATCTTATCAAACCCACTGAAATCTGTTGCATGCCATAGGTCTGGGCATAAGATGGATGATAGCGACG